TCGATTGAAAGAAGTTTGAACGGATTTCTTCTCTCAGTGGTCTTCCCCATTCCTACCTTATTTCCGTTGGTTCTCACGATGTTCTCTGAACATTCAGGTTATCCCTTTTCGTGTGAACCAGAACATAAAAATAAACTTACTTCAAATTTCAATCTATAGGTGCTCTCAAAACATCAATTGAGATTACTCAATAACCTCAACACAAGAGTCATTTTGAAATTTTGGGTATTTGTCAGTGTCCACCCATACTAAATTTTGGCACCATCATGGAAAGCTTCCAGGGGGGTTATAGATAAAAACAATTAATACTTCATTCCAGAAAATATGACAAGAGATTACCTCCTGAAGTTTTCTGCACTTATTCACCTGTATATTAAGATGATGTTTGAATTTGAATAATAAATAATAATTCTACATTTTTTTCACATCTGGATGCTGATGGACAAAAATCACGGTGCGGGAACCCACATAATATTCTAATATCTAGACAGATTTCCAGGTGATCTGCATATAGTCGAGTAGTATCGTTCGACAATTTTCTTGATTGGCCGATAAATCAGCCTGATTCGCTTTGGGGCGACATATTATGCAAGTACGAACAGAAGCTTTGGCTTAATAATACCCTGCTCGATGTTTTAAATAATTCATGATTCTGGTGCAATGCGCTGAGTCTCACCTGAACGCTTGTCTATACCATTATTTATGGCTTTTTATTAACGATGCAACTAGGTATCACGATTAAATCTGGATTATCAACAATATACAAGGTGTGCCGAAACTAAATTGAAAGAATTCAAACACACATTCTAGGAACAAAAAAAGTAAACAAAGTTCATATTAACATGGATCCATCAGAAATAACCCCCTAGAGGGGTAATTGTTATTGAAAGAAGAGCCCGTGATGATGGTTACATTTGATAAAATGACCAATTTTTTTCCACCGTGTGATTTTCTACTACCAAGGTAGTTTTCGTCATTTTATTAAGCGAATATAAGTGTCATATATGCACGACAAAATATAATCTTGAAATGAGTAAATCTATATCTTGTTTCAGAGCGAATTTGAAGTTTGAATCAACTAATTATGTCTTGCATGAACGCGGGATCTTATTGAATCGAACACATTCATGAATTAGGTATTTATGAAGAGATATTGAATTGGCTCAATCATTTTGTTTGAGTCAAAATAACAAGAAATTGATTCAGTCAAATATTTAGTTGATTCAATGAAATATTTGGCTGATTCAAATATTTGGTTGATTCAATGACTTATTTGGTTGATTCCATGAAATATTTGGTTGACTCAATACAATATTTTGTTGATTCAATGAAATATTCCGTTGAATCAAGTTAAACAGTATTTCCAGTCGACAAATTGTTTTGTTGGACCAAATTCCAAAGGACCAAACTATAGGAAACTATAGCTCTAACTCTAACTCTAGCTTAGATCTCCAGTCTTTACTTCTCTTCAGCCTTCAGCTGATGCGCAACTATTTCAGATTGCTAAGCATCCAAAGTTCGATTTATCCAGCTGATATTTCAAATACCAAGAATCACTCTTCACGTATTTATGATGAATTCGAGGCAGGCATAGAAGAGGCGAAAAGATCGCCATCTAGAGGCGAAAACTTGACTTTATATAAAATGAACGGAATATTTTATTGATATTATACATATTTCGTTGCTCTATTCAAGCAAACGATCCATTCGAAACGAGTTCATTGCTACATCGGGATGAGAAAACTTGTATGTTGTTTCAAAGCAATATTTTTATCAAAATGATCATTATTTTATCAAATCAATAAAATTTTTATAGTTGAATTAACATCGACAATATATTTTGGATCGACATAATTTGTTGTTGCATGAGATAACCATTTACTTATTTTGTTGATGGAATTGATATTATATGTTGATTCAATTAAACTACATTCACGATTTGAACAAGCTGCTTCCATGAAATGTTTGATTGAACATGAAATTGCTGTCCTACGAAAATAATTCAAGCATATATAATTTTTTAATGCAACGAATCCTTTTTGGTTTGATTGTCTTTATTACCCCAAGAAACATTTCTGTTTATGATAGGGATACATAAATACATATACAAAAATAATAATAAAGGGTTAACTATAATGAATTTCACTCAGTGGAAACGAATTAATATTGTGTCTTATAAGATTAAAGTTATATTTCATTCCTAAGTAATCAAATCATGCCACATATTTTTCTTTCAAATTGTCCTGAGCAAGTATTTTTTAAGATTGATTTTAAACCTTCTTGCATTAACATATCTGTCAACTTTGCTTAGTGGGAGATATATATAGCCTTCGACAACCGACAATCAACTTTTGGTAGGTGTTAGTACCTATAGGTCTATGGGTACTAACTGTAAATTTTCAAAGGTATAGGTAATTCATAAAGTAAGTATTAGATCCTCTTTCCTACGCCTATGGATGCAAGTATATACTTTATTCTTCGCTTCATTTATCTAGCTCATGCGTCTCTCGAAATGAAATACTTGTTCAATGTTTCAGAAAAGAATTTATCAATGGCATAGGGCTGTTGGCTGGGGAACAAGGGGGAAGAGGGAAAAAGAAATCTGTGGAAAGAATGTGGCGTATCTGCATCTGAGGTCCGTGAATCGTGTGGGAGTAAAATGAGAGAAAATAAGGGAATTGTGTGATTTATAGGTACAGGCATACCAAGTGATATGAGTGATAACGTACCGTGAACAAATAGGAATAGGAAAAAGACAACAAAAATGATTTTTTTCTCACCTATATAGGTTCCGATTTGCTGCTGAACCCAACAGTAGCACAGAAAGATTGATATTGAGAATATTGAGAAATATATCGGAAAATTTCATAAATGTATTTATTAGAACACTGAAAAAAGGATCCTGTCATTCAAATAAGAAATACGCATTTGATTCAAATTAATTGTGAATGGCCAAGTGAAGGTTGACTTCAAAAATCATCAAAATCTCACTTGCTATAAAAGATTGTTAGAATATCTTACTGGAAAGAAATGAGTATTTGTCTCAGGAATAAAATCTTCAGGTACCGTATAGAATTTACTTACTTTTCCCAAATCCTCGATTTCTCGAAATTTATTGGCTGAAGAAACATATTCCATTCCACATGCATTAAAAATTCTCAGATACCGAAAGTTCCAGATTATTCATTGGAGATTATGAGGGCTTGAGTGTCATGTGTAAATAAGGAGTTTCTTTCCCCAAGAATAAGAATCTTGGCAAGATTATATATAGTGGAACTTGAATCGAGATTCCTGGAGTTTATTTGAGATTCAACCGTTCTTTCTTTGAAAATTGGTGCATGCACTCTTGATGCGAGAGTAAGGGTTTCAGGAAGTGAGGGATCCATAATTTGATTCAAGGTACCTACTATCCCAAACAGAAACTATATAATTTAGTTATTTTTCCAAAAATATTTATTGTCATAATTATTGTGGACGTGAAAAATAAAAACAACTGAATATATATACAAAATACACACAATATAACAATACACAAGTACTCGATCAATAATTGATCACAAAAACTTCAAACTTGACGTACAAAATAGTCAAAATCCAACAAACCACTTTGATTCCTTCTTTTAGTCGGATGATGACGCCTATATAGGCGTTTTCTATCAACAAAAGCATTGGCGACCTTGAAAATAATTATCGGTAATAATTCTGCTGATGCTAGGGACAAAATAAGTGATAATAACAAGTTCAGAGTATTTTCAGTTTTCACTAACTCGCGAGATTGATAATTTTCGAAACATTTCTCAAGAATCACAAGAGAGACAGAAGCTTTAATTAAAAATGAAAAAATGGCCGACGAAATATTTAAAATTTGAAATCAAGTGAAATCCTGCTTTACCGGCTGACAAGTGACATTTCAAAGCAGGAGCGCAACAGGACCGGACCGGCCCGGATAATTTGATTTCACTGTCCAGCCCAAGGATTGTGTATACTTAATCATTGGGTCCAGCCTGGTATACTTTTTCTACTTCAATGTACAATATTAATACGGATACCTAAGTGACAAATTGATGGAGGTGATGGAGGATACTTGTATCACACACTGCTTACTATTCTTACTATGAGGTTCCATCTACATCTACCAAGCATAAGTTAATTCGAAATTTAGAGCTGTTGAGTTTCATATTATCAAAGATATTATTATACTTAAGGAATAGAAATCTATATTTTTTTGTCTCGTCATCAGTTCTACCAACCTTGGAAATGGCCGAAGGATGGCCGTAGGTCAAACCCACGTCAAACCTGAGATGTCAAACCTTTGAGTATTCAGTGTATATAATCAAGGGTCAAACTGATTATCAATAGTTCTACCTACAGTGACTCCTCTAGTAGAGTCACTGGATGGTGACTAACCTACTATTCTTTGGTATTAGTAAGATAATCTTCTACCAACTTTGGCGATTCGCGATAGAAAATAACATGTCGCCCTACCTGACGGCATTAGCTTGAACACTTCTGGGCAGTTTACACAAAAATAAAAGTGAACCAAAGAAAACGAAGTAGAAACCTATATTCACCATCACATGAATGAAATTCTCTACTAAATGCCCGATAGATGGCAATTGATATCTTAATGGGAATGAAGAAAGGGACAAATGGTCAAAAACTGAGAACACTTCTGAGGTTCTTGTTCATAGAAAATCCGTAAGAGGCGCTGATATCGTCATATTTTTAATGGCCATCAAACTTTGATCAAACCCTTGATCAGACCAAATAACAACAATCACGACAAATGGTGTGAGTACATTCATTTTTGATAGTGTTAATTAAATTCTGATAACCGAGTTCCAGCCTTGATTATATCCAGGTTGGTTTACAAATAATCATCAATTCTACCAACCTTGAAAGAATTCGTACAGCGACATCTATCAGAAGAAGATGTAACTAGAACCTCATAGGGAAAATTTGACACATCTATTTTTTTTTATATTTTCTAACCTCAAATCTCAAACACGTAAGACGTAAACAGTCAAGAAGTGTTGATACTGTTCATGTGATATGATTGAGAAAATAAAATCTGCATCAAATGAAATATTTTCATAAAAGGCAACTTCATTATTGAATATTAATGACAAAACCACTATGGCAAAACAGTAAATAAAACATCCATTATCATGAACTTTTCCTTATTTTCTTTGGTTTCAGATATGGCCTTATCATTCCCAACAAAAATAAAACCCACACAATTGGCCAAGTCAGCTCTGCTAAACCCTCAATTTTCAATGAAGATTCAGACTCTGATACGCCCAAAGCTCCTGTATCAGGTATTGCCAAAAATCTGAAGAAGCAAGACAAACTGAACCAAGCAAAAGCAGCTCAAGAAGACCCCACTGTCTTCCAATATGATGAAGTCTATGATGAAATGGAGCAGAAGCGAAAAGAGTCTAAACTAGCCAGAAAAGATTTGGACAGGAAACCTAAATATATCAGTAGACTCCTAGCAGCTGCTGAAAAAAGGAAAAGAGAAAATGAGAGAAGGATTGAGAGGCAAGTGCAGAAGGAAAGGGAAGAAGAGGGGGACATGTATAAAGATAAGGAATCTTTCATAACATCAGCTTATAAGAAGAAACTGGAAGAAATGAAGGAATTGGAGGAACAGGAACAGAGAGAAGAATACCTGGAGAGCATAGGAGATGTGAAGAAGCAAGGAAACTTGGATGGTTTCTACAGACATTTATATGATCAGAAATTGAACTATGAAGAAAAAAGCCATGATGCTGAAGAGAAAAAGCAAGAAGTTAAAGAGGAACCCAAAAGTGAGGAGGAAAATAAAAAATCCACCACACTGCAGGACAGTGTTTCTGACAGTCAATCTGAAGATGAGGATAGAGTTAAATGGAAAAGGGATGCAAGGAAACGAAAATACAGAAAGCACAGAGATTCTGATGAAGAAGAACCTGAAGTGAAAAAGGAACATCTGCCTTCTAATTTGGATGCTGATTCAGACTTCAGCATAGATTCCTCAGACAGTGAAGATGAGAACAGTAAGAAAGAAAAACAGGAAAGCACTAATGGGGATAAAGAAAGTAAACCAAAGGAGGTTCTTGAACCAAATACTGAAACTGAAAAGGAGAAAAAATCTGAGGAAAAAACTGAGGTTAAAAAAGAAGAAAAATCAGAAAAGGACAAGGAAGTGAAAGTAAAGAAACCTAAAATTGATATTTGGAAAAAGAGGACAGTGGGTGAGAAGTTTGATGAAGCAGTCAAGAGATATTTTGAAAGGAAGGCACTAAGAGAAATGGGTCAATAAATGTGCCTCATCTGATATCTAGTTTTTTTTTTTTCATTATAAATACCCCTAAATATATTCACTTCACTGCTTTTTAGTTCAAACCAGAGGTATATAGGGTAATAGTACTTATATTATTCTAGTGAAAAGGTAATGTAATTGGTCAAATAATAATCCTATGTATAATTATAGGTTTCACAAAAAAGAAAAAAGAACATATTGTAATATCTCATTAACTAAATACAAGAAAAAAAATGATTATGTTACTAGTGATTCCAAGCACTTGAATGATCATATTCTAAGAGGAATCTAAAGTGAGAGACACTCATTTTTGCCTGTATAAAAATAATGAAAGCAAAATACATGCCATTTTATGTTTTCAAATCAACAGATGCATTTTCACTTTTCAGTATCTGAGAAAATATATAGAGAGCAACTAAAAGTGTATCAATGTTTAATAGATCATACTATACAGGGTATCCCTGAAAGGTCTGTACAAAATCTCACCACATATTCCTGGGGTCAAAATAAGCTGATTGAAAGTAACTTACCTCAGTCCGAAATTACTCCATTTCTGAGATACAGAAATGGTAAAGTTAATAACATCGAATTTTTTAAACTGTATCAATAATTTTAAAAGCACAATTGCACTTCTTATGGTTTGGAATGGCCATAACTTTTTTCTCAGTGTAGTTTTCCACTTTCTTGTTGAGGAAATATTTTCCTGGATATTTTCAAGCAATAAAGGTGCACTTGTGAAAATTTACAAAATTTGAGCCGTTTTCGAGATTTGGGTTTTTAGCGTTCCATATCGTTCTGCAAAATGTTTGCTGTTATCTTCGTGGATGAAATTTGGGCACTTATAATGAGCAGTGCAAAAATGGATTTTTCAAAATAGTCTTTTGGAGTGTGCTTGCCGATTTTACTATGTGCTAAGATTTTGCACATACACCTTTCAGGGACACCCTGTGTATTTCCTCACCATTGGAAAGACTTACAAAAATCTTCAACTCCAATTCGCGATAGAAAATAACACGTCGCCCTACCTAGCAGTAACGTTTGTTTTGATGATATGACCAATGAGCATTGACAAAAAAAAAACAAATGTGAGCCAATCGAAACAAAGTGAATAGGCCGCTTTGACAGCGACTTTTGTTTGACTAGTGAACAATTTTTGAAAAAAAAAGTTTCCCTACGTTGGTTTTTTCTACTATCGAAGACATTTTAGAAATTGAGTTTTCCTATGTGACTGTTGATTTTTGTTCAATTAAGTAGGCCAGGTCGAACAATCTGACATCACTATTTTCCGAAACATTTTCGAGTAAAGATGTAATACCACACCACAAGTGATACTATTTCGCCGAATATATTCGGCGATTGTTACGACAGCGAGAAGTTTTGGAACAATCGACGAATATTTCCAGGAAAAATAGTATCAAGAGTTGTATTCGTATATGAGTATCCCATGATTGAGACAATAAACGAGTGGCTTGCGAGAGTTGCGCACACTCTGCATCCATCATTCTGGCTTCCAACATAATTGACGTTTTAAACGTCCAAAATTTCATCGCTGAAAAACGAGGAAGGTTGGTCACCTGTGGGTTAATTCGGCCTCTGTATTGGTAGAGATCGTAGAGATGGGTAGAGCAAGTCCGATAAAATTTAGTAAACAAAAAAATATCGCTGTAATACAGAAAAATCCGTGAATATGGCGGATTCTGATTGATTCTAGTCCAAGAGTGGAATAGTCAACAAAAAATTTGTCCCTATTTCACTGTGTTGCAATGGCGTGCATACAATAGAAGCATAAACGCATTGCCTACCCCATAAAAATTCAAATTTATATATTTTTTATATTTATAAATATAGATCTTAATAAATATTTCTTGGATTTACTATATTTTCGTTGAAATTTTAAAATCTTATCTCGTTCAACTACTTTCTTTATTTATTATTATTCCTTTTTTTATATCAATTGTCTTCATAACACACTAATCTATTTCAAAATGAAAATACAGCTAGGGTGACAATAACAAAACAAATAAAAATATCTGCAACAGATCTACTATACTGTCTGAGTATTCTTTCTACTAGTGGAGAATTTTCAAAAAATAATGTTTTCCTTATGTTGCTGTCGATTATTATTTTTCGATTAGTGAATAACTTAAAAAAAGTGGCAGTTTTGGATTTCCAAATCATCGTATATTTAAGGTATATTATAAGGGTGTAGCATATAGTGGAAGGAGAAGATCCAAGTAAGGAAAAATGACATACTGGGCGACACTTTACAACTGAACATAAACGCACTCTTATTATATTGAAGATCCCGTCTATTTGACCCTTTTCTGTTGCCGCTGCCTGTAAATGTCGTTCATGGGGGGAAGTGGGGTGTCTTCGTCGTCGGAGCCGTCCATGCCCCCCACGCGTTTCCTCCTTTTCAGACCGATGCTGCCTCCCTCCTCCACGATCCAGTGCACCGATTTGGCCAGATCGAACAATCTGACGTCGCCGGCGCTCTCAGAGGGGGCAGGGACTGAAAAACAGAAGATATTTTTGCTGTTTTTGTATCGGTGGATTTTTCACGAGTTTTTTTTTTATTTCACCGTGTCGATTTTCAGAAAAAAAATAATGTTTCCTTATGTCACTGTATTGTTTTTTTTTTTCTACTAATGAATATATTTCGAATAAAACTTGTATTGATTCACCAATTTAGAAGAACTTTGTTTTGGCCATTCAAATTATATGAATTATTTCAATTTTCGAAGTACAGCAATTTATTCGAATTATTAAGGAAACAGACTATGACCTATACCTACTACCTAGATCCAGTGACATTTGACTTATTTCCTTCACGTCTACGTACCCGTACATAGGAATAAGAAGAAAGTAGTCAGTACGGTCTAACCTCAAATCTTCAACAAAAATGTAAACAAAATACAACTCAGTATGGTGTAAATTAGAGTTCCTAAATGTACTTGACACTGCTGTTTTGACGTTTTTTGTATATTAGAGTACGGACACTAGACAAGCAGTGACAATCAAACACAACCACAAACGATTTTGAAGAAAATCATTTGTTTTGCCAGACAAGGATAAGAATATGTTTTTCACTTAGATAAAGGATCCTCGCATCTGATTGTCACTGCTTGTCTAGTGTCCGTACTTTAATATAGAAAAAACGTCAAAACAGCAGTGTCAAGTACATTTAGGAACTCTATCTAGATCCAGTGACATTCGACTTATTTCCTTCACGCCTACGTACCCGTACATATGACTATATCTTCATGAATTTTTTCTGAACTCAAATTTGATTTCATGACCAAATCAAATTTCACATTGTGGTGAGAGAATGGCTAAATAATAATTATATAAATCGGTGGATTGGTCGGGATAGTCGTCTCATTCAATACCCGTCAAGATCCCCGGACCTGACACCACTTGAATTTATCTTCAGGGTATTGTGAAGCAAAAAGTTTGCAAGTCCAAACAGCAGTTAGTAGAAGAACTAAGCATTAGCATAATTATTAATAACGAACATTTTTTCATGAAATTTGGTTTGCAACTATTTGAGGAGGTGCTGAATTCAATGGTAACTTCAAATTCCTCGTAAAAATGTAGTCGCTATGATTGAATGAATTTTAACCCCTGAAAATATACACAGTAGGCCTTGGTTTTTATAGAGAAAACATATGTTATGGCCTTAAAAAAGTTTTTCAGAAAATTATTCAATGTCTTAGAATACATATGCCTCAAAATATTCAATTAGCCTATTATATCATTGATCAAATTGAGTTAGGTTGATACTGAAAATGTATCTGAATATAGGCGAAAAAAAAAAACAGTTGAGTCGGAGAGAAAGAATGGTATACAATTCGATTTGATGTGTTTTCGATATTTGTTAATCATTTCACGATATAACTCACATGTCTCAGGCAGGTATATCCTGTTGAAAATATCCATGAGAATATCGATATGGACGAATGGACCTCGGAAGCAACTCGGCGGCGGCAAAAGAGTACAAAGATGGGATGCTGCAGGTGGTGGGGGAAACGTACCGCCTAAAACAAAGAATAAGAATTTTCGAAACATATCCCCCGTTCATTTCATTCTGAAAGTTACATTTGTTCGAGAGGTACAGGATGCTCGGAAAGGTTATGTCGTAAATAATAGATAGAGTGAGACAAAATGTTGATACTGAAATAAATATATTTCATGAAAATATATGAAAAATCACTGTAGGTAGTAAAAAAATTCTGGTAACTTTATTTTATGCCAACTTTCACTCCAATATGAGATATGAAATACTTACGTGGGAAAATAGTGCCACAGCAAACAGAGTGTTTATTTTACAAAAATATGTGTTACATATTATAGAAAATAAAAATACTGACACGAGGACTAGTTGTAGAGAACTCTTCAAAAAACACAAAATCCTTACATTGTACAGCATATATATACAGTGTCATTCATAAAGTCAGCATCATATGGGAAAAACTTTTATTAATGACTTATTTTGAAATTCGAGTTGGACATCAAGATTTGCTTTGAAAAATATGGAAGATGGCATTTTTTCAAATTGATCGCTGAAAGTAGGCTTATTTGTTCGAATATCGAAAAAGTTTACTTGAAAAAGTTGTTTCTATTTCAATAATGAATAGTTTCGACACAAAAAAATCGTAAAGTTGAAAAATTTCGATTTTGAACACCCTATATCTCAGTAATCATTTTTGCTAAACCCTAAGTGTGATTAATTGATGAAATCAGCTTCTCAGAAAGAATCTGTAAATTCAATAAAATACAGGGTGTTCTATATAAAATAAGGAAGTTAATATTAATTCCGGAATAACTGAAAAAGCGGCAACATCGACGATAACATTTTCAAATCCACCACGTTCTGAAATCACCCTGTACATATATTCAAAAGAAACTAACAAACGGTTACCGAGATATTCAATTGGTTCCATACTTTCGCCCAACCCTGTATCTTAGAAGTATGTATATATTTCTATTTTGGCTTACTATCAGCTCTATCATTCACGACACGATCTTTCCGGACACCCTGTATATGGTAAACCGACAACCTAATTTTTTTTAAACTGACTCATCTCTCATGTAGTTATTTTGCTATTTACCTGGTACAGGGTGTTCTCCAGGCATCACAGTGTTCGATTTCGGTTTGTAAGGAATCATTTGTGAATAATCAGGAACTGGTAGTGGCAAATCTGAATCGCTCTCTATTATCGATTGCAGTAAGAGATTTTTGCCCGCTCCTGTGATGTTAATAACTTCAGTATACCTGAAAAATACACACAAAGTCATAATTGCGGTGACATTGCAATGATTTTCTCAATATTAATTGATTTGTTATTGTTTTGAACTCACCCAATACTTTTCAGTTCTTGTGCAGTACAAGGGTAAAGGTCTAAAAACTTGTATCTGTCCACTAGCTGAGCAGTTTCTTTTCCTTCAAACTCTTTGATTTTCGACAGCACTTCGGATCTGCGCTTTTCAACTTTGACAATGGACTGGAGATCTCCAATGTTACATTCGAATTCCAAAAATTTATTCCAGATGTCACTGAGGAGTAATGGTCATGATAAAATCGCCAGAATTAGCAAAACTCCGATATCAATGTACTTAATGAAGGAAATTAACAAAGATCTAATAAAGTGACTTATTCATAATTGATACTATCAATGTACTTAATGAAGGAAATTAACAAAAGATCTAATAAAGTGACTTATTCATAATTGATACAATGTAAAATTTTGGGTGCCACTTGATTGCATACATCGAGCTTTCTTAGGTTATGAAATATTTGTATTATTTTCAATGTCACCCTATACTCAACCCTTTCACCGTCCTGTACAAATCATTGAACCAACGGTATATGGATGTATGCTTGTGCAACAAAGACAACCTTACCCAACCATCAGCTTGTAGCTGCTCCTTACATCTCTCTCGTTTGTCGAGTTCTTGATTGGTTCTCTACATCTTTTTTCAAGCGCGATAAAAATGTCAAATGAATTATTGTTGATCAAATGAAAAGAAAAGTTCTTCTGTTCTGACACACTAATGGAAAGGTTAATTTTGGTCAACAGACCCCTGGAGTGCATAAACTCACACTAAAAATTTAAAATTCAATCAAAAACCAATGAAAATAACTTGCAACTTGCAATATCACATTTACAATGCAATTAGCATATTTTAAACCAACAATTAGCTGATTTCGTTTCGCCTTGCGTCTCATAGAGGCACATGATGTTCAATCAAGTTTCCAAAAAGGAATGATCAAATATTTTTTAAATTCCGCTAAAGAATGGTGTACCCATATGGGACCACTAGGCGGTTTGCAGAACAAAATGAGAAATATTATATTCATACTATTCATCGATAAAAATGAAGGACACCAATGATGCATTGTCGTTTTCAGTGGTTTATCGGTGAAAGAAGCATTGGATCGCCTACGAATCGGAAAACGAAGCAGAACTTGGCAATTTATATATAGAGCCACTAGAATAATGTACCTATTTTTCAAGACAATATGATTTCAAAGTATTTTTCGAGCTATCATGTAGGAGCGAGGACAAAAAGTTTCACGGCCGATCTTTACGTACCTGCTAGACGTTTCTTTCTAGAATGCTTGGAGACTTTTCAGGAAAACTGTTCGCAATCGAAGAAGTATTGTTCAGGTATAACAGGACATCTTAACCTTCAGGAAACAAAATACGAGTTTCTGAAGATTTGAGACTACACAAAGTAGGTCACTTTGTCATTTCGGTTCCTGACGGAAAGCGAAAACATTGTGCGTTTCCTAATTGCAGCGGCAAAAAACGTACCATGTGTAAGGAATGTGAAGTTGGGCTATGTATTGAATGTTTCAAACCTTTTCATAATTATTGAATACTTGAATAGTTTGACATGAATATTTATGACTTTCATTTCCATATTACTCCTGGTATCCATTTTGTCCTGGAAACCGCCTAGTGGGTCCATACAGTGACTCAGTGACCCCCCACATCTTGCAAAGTACACAGTTATATCAACAAATTTTGCTATCAGACACCTATTCTATATAATTATGTTACTTCAAAACCTGTTATATAAAATACTAGAATTTCATAAAAAAAAATAATTCAGGCGTTAATGGCGTAAATATGGATCACTTTTGTCCCTGTTTGGATCATACTCAGTATCTAGACCGCTATATGCCATATCTGAGCAATTCAAAAATCTCATCCCACTTGCTCAGTGCCGGATTTATACTCTCCTACGCCGGGGGCTAACTTTTATGATGCCGCCGCGCCGCCGCCAAATATTAAATTTCAAATAATCCTTTCACTGCTTTTTTTACAGCATATAACAATAACATGAAATTATTATGTACAACGAGTCAAATTATATTCACTCCACACGTTAAACATAACAACAAACAACCATTTTTTTTTTCAAATGAATACTAAAATGGCATCACCAAAATTCAGATTTAATAACATGTCACTGTTGATACTTAAAATTGATAAGCTATTTAATGTATCCTCTAACATGGAAGTCCTAAGGTAATTTTTCACTCTTTTTGAAGTCGAGAATGACCTTTCACCACTGGCATTACTAATCATCAGAGATAGGAAAATTCTTAGAGCTACTTCCACGTTGCAAAAAGTATCTGTGATCTTGTATTTGTGCAATAGCGCCACGACGATCTTGCATTGAATATTTCATCACTTTTGTTTTCGGTAATAGACTTCAGGAAATATTCCAATTTAACACATTCTTTTCCGAGTGAATCATCTACATCATTTGGGTATACCTACATCAATGAAAACACGTGCTATATCTACGATGACATCATCTGGCAGAGATGCAATTGAGAACAAAAATGCGAATGTAGAATAATTACATCACCCACCAAATGGTCGACTGCTTTGAGGAATACCTGGGTTCGATTTCTGGTCTGTGGTGTCAATAAAGCTTCAGTGTCAGCTTCTTCAAGAGCTAGTTTCCTCTTACGTGTTCTGACCTCCTTATAGTTAAGTTCTTTCGAGATTATTTGTATCTCTTTTCGTAAAAATTGAACTTTTATCCTCAATGAAATATATAAACTGAGACACGTGTCCAGGCCTATGCTTCAGTTTTGCAGGGACTTGCTGACTTGATCTGCTCTCTCTGATATATCATACCAGAAAACAACCAGAATAGCAAACTCTAGTGTAGATACTTTTTTTGCCAGTGCATCAGCTTGACAGCGAATTTGCATCTTTTCCTCTCTGTTCAGGCTTATTTTATGAAGTGTATCTTTAATCACCCAACTTACCATTCCCGTCTTGAGATCATTCTGTCTCATTTGAATTTAGAAAAAATGAATGTATTTGAGGGCATTTCTTGATAACTTCGTCTAACTGCCTTTGTTTATTGATCTGCAGTTTCCAGAATGCACCACCTTCTTCTTCACTCATTTTTTTAAATTTCAGTTCCAATATTTATTCATTATTAGTACCATTACCAACAATACCAACGACAACCTATTAAATACTGAACTCTGATTTTGTTTTTTTCTCATTGAGTTAGACGAATGACGAAATTACCCCTACTCTACTGAGTATAATGCGTTTTTTTTTTCATCATCAAATAAAAGTATGTAGCGCCGTTGATTTTATATTGTAGCGTCCAAGACACAGCTCACGCTAGATTAGTGCATGTTTTGATTTTCACAAAAACAGTATCTCAACCAAGTCCTTCTGATGCGGTGCCAGCGGTAGCTAATCGCGCGTTTGCTTCAAAAGACGACTGAAGAGGCGGCATATAAAAAGCAAGAAGCAATATATTTGTCGCCTCGTCGGCGACGACTGTATTGTTGCTTGCTTCTTTTCCTTTTCTTTACCGCCTCTTGAAATTCACCGCCGGGGGCTGATAGTCCCATAGCCCGCCCCCCCTAAATCCGGCACTGCACTTGCTCGCCTAAAAACGCACATGATTCAAGTTCGATCTTGTGAGTGGCTTACCTTCCTTCTTATGGCATTAGCGGTCTAGATAGTAGTTTATGTATTTGGTATGGAGGGACAAACTCTAGTACCGGAGAGCAAAAAATACTTACACAGACTTCTCCGGTTCCAAGCTCCCGGAGGACAAAACCCTCTCGAACAACACTCTGGTGTTGTTGTCCTCGTTCAAATGCGACAGATAATCGATATAGCAGGTGATGTAGTCGGGAATGGCGCCGAATTTTTTCAGGCCGAGCTCGAAAATCCTGAAAGCGATGTTTTTGTCTTTGCTGCAATAGTATTCCATGAGAGCAGCGCAGACGAAGAGGTGGTACAGAGAGCGATTGTCTTCTCTGGCTTTTTTGAAAACGGCTCTGGCCGATTTGATGCCTTCGGCGCGTCTGGCGAACTTCATGTATTGGATGTAAGCCTGAAATCGAATTGAGGTCTTTTCTATCTTGAACGAGAAAGAGGAAGATTCTCTCCTCTTCCATCTTTCTCTTCAATGATACCAACGTAGCCGCATTGAAATATATAGAGGTCCAATAAATATGTCCTTGTCTAACATCTATACTTTGTGCCACTGAACTATTTTTCAATTCAGCAGTGTCAAAGGACCCCGCACTAAACTATGATGAAAATCGCTGAACTTTTGGTATGTTGCAGACTTTTATATACTGAACAGATATTCCATTGAACTAACCTCAAAAAATTGACAGTTTTTTCGATATTGACCTCGGAATGTCACTTAATCCGATTCTTTTCAAAATTGGTACCTAGGGGTTTTCGTGATCGGGGATTATGATTCCTTCGTCAAAATTAAGAAATTCAAGATGGCGGATCCTAAATGGCGGAATTTGTAATTAGGATCCGATTTTATTCATATTTGGTATCTGGTGGTTCTCGAGGTCGGAGATTATAATTCTCTCGTCAAAATTAGAAAATTTAAAGATGTCGGACCCAATATATGGCGAACGAGTTTGGTAATTATGATCCGACTCTCTTCAGAATTGTTATCTGGGTGTTTTCGGGGTCGGAGAGGTCACAATATGGAAAAGGTGGGATTTGGAAAGTCAAGACAGTGGAACCAATATACCGGACGAGTTTTGTAATCATATACCGATTCTATTCAGAATTTGTGTAGCGTTTTCGGGATCAAAAATTATGATTCCTTCGTCAAAATTAGGGAATTCAAGATGGTAGGTCCAATATTGCGGACGAGTATTGTAATTATGTTCCGATTCTATTCAACATTTTCATCTGGGGTTTTAGGAGGACATTATGATTCTTTCGGGGTAAAATCACCCAAACTTATTCAAGTGCATTTTTTTTTCAACTTTGGCATACATTCATGAAACTTTAAAATCTTTTGCATAAAAAGGTTTCCCTTTTACAATAATAAAACATTTGAGATACTAATTGAGGCTTTTAAAGATGCTTATCCGTTAGTTCACGTGTTTCATTGTGACCATTGAGATTATGAGATTTGGGAATGCTTCGTAAACTCAAGGCTTTCGTCTGAAATCGGTATACAAATTCAAAGTTCACAGGTGGATCTCAGTGTGAATTTTGAAAATGTAATAAGATTTTTCCACTTTTGCCGTATTTTTGCGGAAATTATACAATACCGCTGTGAAGGAAAAAATATGTTCTGTATTTTGCATTCAATAGTCCATTATGACCTGGGGAAAAACAAGTGACGCCAATGATATTGCTTAGTCAAACAATGTCGCGTGATACCTGAATAGAAAAAAAAGGTAAAACTGCACTTATCATGTGATGGGTATTTTTCAAAAAAAATTTTTTATACATACGTATTTTTGTCTGGAAAACACGAATTTGATAATATAAAATGACACATTTTAATATAGAAAATTCAACACGAAATATGATATTAATGGCGAGTTTTTCATATTTAGTGAACAATAATATCAAATGACGGCCATTTCATCAATATAGGTACCTAGTCAATCCAAATACGAGATGTCAAATGTAAACAGATTGCTGCTAAGTAGATTTGAATATTTGCCGATATTTAAGAAAAAAAATTTTAAGTACATAAAATATCTTCTCTATTATTGAAACCTGCGATCTCGATCCCAATTAGCCATAAAGAAACTCACAATGGAGTCAGGTATAAGTTGTACAGTTCATTTTTTCTGTACATTTAGTATGGATAATTATTATTTTCTCCACCACTACCACATATTTACCTGAATATAATGATTTTTATCAACCAAAATCTTCATTGATTTTCAAAATTTTCTGAATATTAGTTTGTCACCAAGAATTAAAAGAAGACAGTGGTATTTTGCTATACTATTTCACGAAGTATCAGAAAATTCTGAGATATCATACAGATATTCAAAGAATATCTGATGATGTCTGGGTAATGAGGAACATACCAATGTGGGATCAATATCCTTGATCTCCAAATACTTCTGGTAAATCTGGTGTACTTTCTCGTACTTCAAACGACCTTCTTCATAGTCAGCATAAGCAAAATAAAGCAGCATGTTTTTGCTTAGCAAACTGCTTGTTGCACGTTCAAACATATTTGCTGCTTCTTCGCTGAATAACTTTGAGGCATTAACATCCTAAAAAAAAACAATGATACCGGAAATCAATATTATCGATCGATTATCAGTAGATAGTGTAACGTGTCAGATTTTTTAATTCGCTTTTTCACATAGAAAAATTGTTGATACATTATTTTTTCGTCGTTCTATTGTTGATACAATAAATCAAGCCATGTTAAAATGAAACTTCAGTGGATAATACCTCCATCCAGCAATTTCGAAGTGAATTTATTGTAATTTGTATTGGTGATGTTTACTTACTCCTTTCTCAGCTAAGATCTTACAGCTGTATTCCAAAAACTGAGCAGCTTGATACCAAATATCTGGATGGTGTCCCAAACAGAGTAGGCATTGTTCAAGTGCAAAGACCACTCTCTTTGTCAATAGAGCAGTGTCTTCTGTACGTAGAGGGTTACTTTTTTCCCAAGCTATGTATTTTTGCCATAGCTCAACCTAAAATCAAAATCGAACTGACGAATTGTTTGGTTGCTATGAATCTGCGAAATTACTTAATAATTCATTATTCCAGATATTTCAATATACGTGTAATAAGGACAAATCAGATGATTTGCCCCAAAATGTCACTGCGTTCAAAGAATTTTCCTATTAGAGAGCCTAAAAGAAAAATGTACTAGCTTGTCAGAGACAATTTGTATTGAAGAAGGTTTGGAGAAGAGAAATAAAGGTATATAGAAAAAATATCAAATTTTGAGGACCTTAAGAATGCCAGGAAGAATACGAATTTGCCATACAGTGTGTAATTCCGCCCGGGGAGTCTAGTATGTTATACGGACGGATCGCGCCTAACTGACAAACAGGACTCAGGTGCAGGAATTTACCTAGAAGGAATAGGCATAAGAGAGAGCTACGCTCTTGGAAAGTATACCACAGTTTTCCAGGCTGAGATCTTTGCCATTCTGGCAGTAGCGGAGAGGCAAGAGGTGAAAGAGGGACCAGAGCAGAAGATTTACATCTGCTCGGATAGTCAGGCGGCTCTCAGGGCTGTCTGCCATCCTAAACCAAGCTCAGCTTTGGTGCAGGAATGTGGCGATGCTCTTGAGAAACTAGCTGAACAGGAGGAAGTCGAACTAGTATGGGTTCCGGGGCACAGGGGGGTGCCCGGGAACGAGGTGGCCGACGAGCTGGCTAGAATCGGATCCGCGACACCGTTCTGGGGACTGGAGCCTGCACTGGGCATAACAAGAAGCCAAACTTCGTCTGCCCTTAACAAATGGGCGGACGAGGCACTAGAAGGATATTGGAGGCGTATAGCTGGCTAGAATCGGATCCGCGACACCGTTCTGGGGACCGGAGCCTGCACTGGGCATAACAAGAAGCCAAACTTCGTCTGCCCTTAACAAATGGGCGGACGAGGCACTAGAAGGATATTGGAGGCGTATAGGCGGCTGCAGGCAATCGAGAGACCTGGTGGCCGGTCCAAGCAAGCCAAAGACGGCTTGGTTACTGGACAGGGATCGCCAAGTCCTGCGCCTTCTTATAGGGATACTGACAGGGCACAACAGGTTACGCAGACACCTATCACTCATAGGTGTGGAAGATAGTCCCACTTGCCGTGAATGCGGAGAAGATGAGGAGACATCACTTCACTTCCTCGGAGAGTGTGAGGCGTATGGAAGGATGAGATTCGAAATCTTTGGAGTAGATAAACTACAACAGGAAGATTTGGTCGAATTAGAGTGGACGGACATCCTGACCTTCATCAGAAGGACGGGAAGGTTCGAAAAGGACAACTAAAAGAGGGATGTGTAGATATGTGGAGAGCAGGGGTTGGCAAAAAGGGCCCATGGGGGCCTACTTGCCTGGCTACAGCCTCCCCACACTACTACTACTACTACTGCTATACAAAAAATCCATATTTTATGTTGAAAACGGGAGCAGATTCGTTCTCGAAACGTCCAAAGATAAGTAAAAATTTGATATTTTTTACATATCCTTTATTTCTCTTCTCCAAACCTTTTTCAATACAAATTGTCACTGACAAGCCAGTGAATTTTTTTTAGGCTCTCTGATAGGAAGATTTTTTAAATGCAGTGATCTGTACTAACTACACGTATATTAACCTACAGAAATTCACAATTTAGCTTTTTCACGCATATTTTCAGATTTTGATCTACATATTGAGAAAGAAATGCACATATAAAATTGGGGTGATTTTTTTCTCCACCACCCCCAGATTTCGCCGCCACTGACTTATTTCGTGAAATAATTTTCATTCCATCTTATAGAGCGTAAAAAGTTTAGTATCTGTGAGGAATTTTGTTGATTTATCTCAAACTGTTGAGATCTTTTCAACAAAAATCAATAAAAAAACTCATATTTTCAACAACCTATATCTCGAAAACGATGCCTTCAAAAGTATGTGTTTATATGAACTTTCTCATTATTCCAATGAGTACTATCATACTGTTGAATTTTTTGTATAACAAACTAGACCACCCTGTATATATAAATATTTTTGTGATCACAAAAATTCACAGATTCCGAAAAGTATATAAAAACTGGGTGTTCTATTTGAAAAAATTAATTTGTGGTTTGTCACGCTTCTAGGGATCACCCTTTTAAAGTTCTGATAAGGGCTGTGGAAAGGCCTTCCTTGATGTAAAAATGACATTGAAATAGGGGTGGGCTTTTTCGATGGAGAACCCTGTACAATAAGTTTGATCAAGTACCTGTTTTCTTTCTTCTGGTGTTCCATTTGGTGGAACACTAGGGGCATTCCGATTTATACCTCTCAGTTGGACTTCAAGTTCTTTAGCAACTCTTCTTGCATTCATGTAGTCTCTGCTTCTTTCAATGCTCATTTTTTCGGCGATTATGGCATTGATATTCTGAACAGTTCAATAGAATAAATATTAAAAAGAGTTGGTAAAACCTCGAAAATATTACAAAAAGTGAAATTTTTGTGGAAATGAATATTTTATGACAAACTTATTTTCTTCCTCTTACTGACAATCAGTAAATATAATTAATTGATTGAAAAATTCAACACATATTGGACAAAAACGTAAGAAAATATAAACTAGATTCAAATAACACATAACACATATTTATCAAACCTGACCGTTTATTCAAACAAGACTGTTTATTCAACTTTTGATTTCTAGTCAACTTGAACTCATAAATTTCAAGAAAACTTAGAGACTAAAAAAATCACATGAGGCTGCTGAATTTCGGGTAACCTTGATTAAGAATTAAAAATCGGCTTGGAAGAACGAAATCAAAAATTTCAAGATTTTGAACAGGTTGAAGTGGAAATCAAGGTTAACAAAAATTCAGCAGTTGACCGTTCAACATGTGAAATACAAAGTGTGCTACATCCTTGGAAAGGTAATTTTGTTGGGAAACCAACAATTTCAGAAATTATAAACTGATACAAATATCATTAAGAATAAAATCATCAGTCATTTTCTGATTGACCATCAATGACTTTAATGAGATCACGTTTATTTAAAAAAAAATAAATTTTTGAGTTATTGTAAGGTGGTTAGGACAATTTTCTAGACCAATAACACTTCTGACCTGTTCAAATGCTATGTAATCTTTCCAGAAAGTTTCCATTCCAGTCATGGGAGTGATAATTCCCCTCTGGTATACCTTCCTGACTGCCGATATTTTTTGATTTTCGGCATATGAACCCACTGCTTCGACTCCTTTCAAAAAATTTACATAGTCGTTCCAGATAGAGTATGAATGAATATCCATACCGATTCTGTCTAATGCAAAATCATAAGCTTGGGCCATTTTTTCTCTGAAAATTTCATTATGTTTGAAATGGAATTTCTTGCTATAAATTTGATAGGTATTCCTTGATACCTCCTTATTTTGCATCTGAGCTATCATAAAGTTGAATTACAATGTTCATGATAAAGTATATTCTCATTTTTCTGTATGGTTGTCAGTGATCAGTGTACTGTGGGGAAGGGATAATCACAATCCATTCATATCGTCGTTGAATTTACAAAGGGGCGTATATCGGAAAAAGGCGTAAATGCTTTTTTAGGGTTAACAAGTTGCGCCAAAGCTGATTTATTTGCTCTCAAAGTGGCGTATATCAATTCCTTTCAGTTCAGATGTTATTCTGTTTTTGAGTTGAGGCGTATATCTGAAATGAATGAAATACTTCGAAGCAAACCGGCGAATATGAAATACGCCCATATGCAATGGCATATATTTAAAAAAATATTTTAACACAAACAGGCGAATATGAAATACGCCTATTTGTTGACGAAGGTACCATGCTCAGTGGCTTATTCCTTAGCGTTAAACATATGATGCATATTCGCCCTATTCCGAAATTTGCAGGCTTCAACTTGCAGGTTCCAGTTTTCTGGTTAACTAGGCAGTGCTCACGTCGGCTCATGAGAAAAACTCAAATTCCTCTGAATATGGATGTCTTAGTGGAGTGGAATGATGGTAAAAAAAATGTGGTGGTTTCTAGTGAACTTGTGTGTTTGAGAAAAGGTGGAATTATACAGAGTGGAGCGAAAGTTAAGATGCTATATCTTGGTCGCTGGTATTATGGCAAAGTTATTGCTATCGAAGAACTTGGAGATTCTTCAGATTCTGAACTTGATAACGTACCTTTAGCTTCATTGATTGGTAAAGAAAATAATGATTTCAATAGACATCATAAAGAATTACAAATGGAAACTACTTCATCTGATGATATTACTGATGCAAGAAAGACTGGTAAGTTCCATGTTGAGTGTAATATTGGAATTGAATAACTAGGTGAATAATAATTTTTTAGAGGTTGTTCCAATTCATCATGACCCATATTCTGAATTGGATAAGGTGCCTTTGAGCTTCTTGATAGACAAAAGTTATGATACTTATGATAATCATGATTACATACAAATGGAAACTGCTACTTATGGAGCAGAAAATAATGGTGAGTCTCGTAACATCAAAAAGTGATATACCTACATCACAGGCATTTCGTAGAGAAAACACCAATCTTCCTTGGAAACACTGGAGAAAATGAAACAGAAACGATAGAAAATATAGATTCTAGAAAAATAAGAGTTCTATCTGATATAACATTAACAAGTGCGTTTTCGAGTAAGTTATTAAACTGTATGATTTGAAGAACTTGTGTTTACCGCTCTTTCTTACAGATAATATATTGGAAAGTCAAACAACTGGTACAACCTTTGAAAATATTTACAACAGTGATGACTCTGATAGAGATCCAAACTATATTGGAATTTGTGAAATCAAGCACTGTTCCAAGAAAGGAAAAGCATTTTGCAGTTGCGGATTTTGGTTATGCCGAAAACACATTGATGATAAAAATGAGACATGCACCATTCATCAACGGGATGGATCAGAATCGGATTCAGCAATTACAATTGAAACACGTAGTATTGAAGAAAACAGAAAAAATAAAGATGTTAAGTTGGACCAGTTCTGCGAATATGAAAAATGCAGAAGAGAAGTTTTTGCATCATGTCATTTGTGTTTCGCTTTATTATGCTGGAATCATTTCAATGTTGAAACAATGAATTGTAGATTACATAATATTGATATCAATATCAAGAATACAACAGGAAATAATAAGACACAAGATATTGAGCGACTATACGAAGTTGAAGGAAGTGGAAGAGAATATGAGATAAAGAAGAAAATAAATCAACGCAAGATAGCCAAACAAAGAAAGATTACAGGAAAAGATTATATCGTTCCGAATACTATGAATCTGATGCCCCCAAGAAGGGTTGGATCATTATGTAAAGGCGATTATTGTCGGAAATTTGGAAAAAAATGTCAAATATTCACAGAAGATCAGCGCCTCGAGATTTTGACAGATTTTTATAATTTAGGAAACCTCACGTTACAGAGAGAGTTCTTATGCAGACATATTGTCATTCAAAAACCAAAACAAATGAAAAAAGACTCTAGAAAAAATAAAACCAATAAATTTTTTCTTCCCTTCTTTGGCGAAAAAGTACCTGTTTGTAAGATTTTTTTCCTCAACACATTGGCCATCAGTGAAAAAACTATGAGAACCTCCTTAAAAAAACTACTGCCTACTGGGGTTTTAGAAAAAGAACAAAGAGGTGGCAGAAAAGATAAACAGAAGGAACGAGACGGAATCATTCATCAAAATATCGTTGATCATATTTCAAAGTTCCCCAAAGTAGAATCACACTACTGTCGGAAAGATAGTAAAAGACAATATCTGAATTCACAGCTATCGATTCCCAAAATGTATTGTATGTATTTGGACGAAAACAAAAATAATGAAAAAGGGAGTGTCTTTTTATACAGAAAATTATTCAAATCCATGAATCTCTCTTTCCATCGTCCCAAAAAGGATCAATGCACATTTTGTATGACTTACAATAATGGTGATGACTTTATTAAATCATCACTAAAAGAAAAGTATTTGAGGCATGAAGCAGAAAAAAATGCTGTGAGAAGAATTAAGACCGAGAGTAAGGAAAGAGCAATGAGCGATACTAAGGTTGTTAGTGCTGTTTTTGATTTACAGCAAGTCATTCAGTTGCCAATTTCAAATGAGAGTGCTGTATTTTATAAACAACGTCTTGCTTTCTTCAATTTCACAATCTATGATCTGTCTTCGAGGGACTGCCACTGTTACACTTGGTATGAAACCCAGAGTAAACGAGGTTCATCCGAAATGTCGAGTTGTCTATACCTCTTTTTAAAAAGTTGTGACCAGAACGAGGTCGAGTCTGTAGAACTATTTTCTGATGGCTGCTACGGTCAAAACAAAAATTCTATACTTCCTGCAATGTTTGCTTTCTTTCTCAATGAAAGCAAGAATATAAAAAACATATATCTCCATTTCTTTGAGGCATGCCATGGCCAAAATGAAGGCGACTCGGCACATAGTGCTATAACTGCAGCAGTAAAACAGGCTGGAGATATTTTCATACCCAGTCAAATAATCCCGATAATAAAGTTAGCTCGAAGAAAACATCCCTATATTGTTCATGAAATGGCATTCAGTGATTTCCTAGACTTCAAAACTCTATCCCAAGATCTGAGAATTTTAAGTGTTCGTCAATCTGATGAAATGAAGCCTGACTCCAATAATTCTTTGAATTGGACAAAAATGTCCGCTATTATGGTAAATAAAGAGATGAATAACAAAATTTTCTACAAGACTAGTCACATGGAAGAAACATTTCAGACGATATCTTTACAAAGAAATGTGGATATTTCGAAAATGAAGGTTAAAAAACTCAATAATGCAAGACTCAAGCTGCCATTGAAGAAGTACTCATCTCTCATGTCACTTTGCGTAGGATCGACTCCCGTCATTCGTATTGAAGAATACCAAGCATTTTACCGAAATCTTCCCCACCTGAATAAATAATGATCTATGTTTATTTCTTTTCTGAACTATTCATTTGATATATAAATGATTATTTTTGTTTTTTATTGTTTTCCTGAAACAGCATTACGTATTTGTTTGCGTTTTTCTTAATAATCTGATTAGGCTTAAATGAACATGTTCAATAAATCACATTCACTAAAAGGCGTATATGGTATTTTTTCAAATTACCCATTCAAGTATAAAATGTTAATTACCTCCCTATAGGCATTGGATTATGTATACTATATTCCGAATATTCACAAACATTGATTGAAATAGACCTACTTTTCTTCTGATAGTGACGACATGAAAAACTAGTAAATCTTAAATTGCATCTCCTCAGAAACTGTTCAAATCCATATACGCCACTTAGTTAATTCGACGACGATATCTATCAACACAATTTTTCTCAACATAATTTGAGATAACAAGTCTTTATAAAATGATGACACATATTTTGGAAAATGTTTGCATAATTTGAACATTAGTTTCATTACCTATCTCAATAGGTATTTATGCAATATTCAATATGTCCTTTACAGTTTTGATAAAAAAAGCTAGATAATTACATATACTTACTTGTATGTTGGTAGGGTAGCCTTAGTTTCTTTCACATAGGTGAGATATAATTTCCACAGTTCAATATTCAAAATCTTCATCAAACATCTTTGAAAAAGCTGCCAAAAAATATGTATTATGTTTTCCCAATATTGAAAGAATATCATTCATAAACAAATTAATGAAGGTAGATAACTAAAATTAACTAGACAGTTACCCCAAAAAATGCATTTTTATGTATTTTCTTCTGGGGGTCTCATTATGATATAAAAACAATAAAAATGAGACTTTCATCATTTTTTCCTTCAATTTTATTATGCCCCACGCAATATTGAGAAAAAAATCTCATTATTGATTGTTCCTAAATCTTGGACAACAATGAATGAACATTTATTATTACTAATTCAAAACTTAAATAACATTGGTGAAAGACTAGCAAACATTCAGCGCAAGTACAAAAATACAGTAGTACAGGTAAAATTCATTTATTGTGACACAGGAGAAGAACTTCATGGATTTCAGGAAGAAGGGGAAATAAAAATACACAATGTTTGACCAGTCTTTGACAAATGTTTTTCAATATCCTTTCTGGAATTCAGGAACAACTTTGAGAAGGTTAAATAAATCAGAAAGAATCCTTTCAAACTGCTCATTTTGTAATTATTAAAATACTGCAAGTAGGTACTGTAGGTAGGTAGTAACAAACATAGATTTGTCAAGAACAGAAAAGCAGTTGTAAAAAGTTTCCTCCCAATTTCTAAACACAGCAGTAAGAAGAATAATGAGAATAGTGATGATTGTGAAAAATAATTGGTTTTTATTCAATTTTTCAAATGTTTGAGAGAGATCATATCTCAGCTTAACAATACTCCATACCTTCTCAACTCTTTCAAAGTTCCTGACCCTCATCTGGAAAAAAGAAAGATTTGAATACAGAACAAATCAACTCCTGAATGTTTTACCTCATGATCTATGTATATGCGCCAATATCTAGAAGCACTAGGAAAAATACCTATCAGGTGTTCATATAATGCACGGACCTCAGAAATATGCTTGTTCTGGGCTTCTCTGAGCAGGATCGACCAGGATTCGAGATCATAGGGATTTTTCTCCACCTGTTTCTGAGTCCTATGAAGCTTATCATTGCCCCAATCCTAGGAATTATAGGTTATGTTAAGATCTGGAGGAGCACATAGTTTCCAACTACTGAGGAAAACCAGAATAAAAAAATCGATTCCTGACTTGAAATAATTATGTTTGAACGTGAGAAGAAAAAAATATGCATCATAACAAACACCACATTGTAGGTATTTACTCACTATGAAAAAGCGTTCTTCTGTCATTGCTGAGATAAATGAGCTCCTGGCCCTCGGACTCCGCTGATGGATATAAGAATAAGAATACAGGTATTTGACTCTATGTACAGTTTTTGGGTATTAATTGTTCAATTATGCCCAGGGAAGTTTGAATAACTTCAGATAATAATATTAATAAAGCAACTTATTTATTTATTACCCATCAATCACCCTACCACAACGCACAAGTGACACATTTGACATTTGCATTGACAAAATGAGAGGGAGAGATATCCAGTGGCTTATGCTTGGTACAGATGACAGCTTATCCCATTTAGGCACATATCGCTTCGGATTCAGATTGGTAACAATAACAGAAAGTTCGCTTCAAAGCCAATAAACGAAAAATATTCAAACATGTTATAAAAGAAAAGCTGATCTTTTTCCAGTATAACCCTGAAACAATTAATGTGAACAGTCCGCGCGTCATTATTTATCTTGTTTTAGATGTATGACAAACTGACATTTATCAATATTATTTATCTTGCCTCTTGCCACTGTAAGTTGTAAGCTGCCATCTGTACCCACCATTAGTGAGATGGTACGAGGTGGGGTAAAAGTGCACTTATCATGCGATGGGGTTTTTTTCGAAAATTTTTTTTGGTACTTACGTATTTTCGTCTGAGAAACACGAATTTCATAATGAAAATGTGAACAAACCATTATTTATTGAGATATTTCACTATAAAGTTACAAATTTCACCATCTTTTCCGCCTGTCTTCTGGATCACATTTAGAACAATTTGCCCTTCTTTTTCCATCATTGGACAATTTATATATATCACACAATGTTGGACACATTTTTTTTTTATTATATGAGTCAACTAGAAATATGATTTTCTTGTGATTTATCCATGTTTAGTGAAAAGAAGGAAGAATATCATTTGAAATAATGGCGTGTGTAATGTCATTCCAAAGCAATCTATTGACATTTGACATCTCGTATTTGGATTGCATATGGATTAAATGGCCGTCATCTGGTATGCTTGCTCACTAAATAGGAAAAACTCGCCATAAAAATCATATTTCCTGTTGAATTTTCTATCTTAAAATGTGTCAGTGAAGTACATCATGAGTATATAAAGTGTCGAATGACAAAATAATAAGAGCAAGTACCTGTAAATGCATCCAACACAAGGGGGAAAAGAAGGCAAATTTTCGAACTTTTTCTTGAAATATCTCGATAAATAGTGGTTTGTTCACATTTTCATTATGAAATTCGTGTTTTTCAGACGAAAATACGTAAGTACCAAAAAAAATTTTCGAAAAAAACTCCATCGCATGATAAGTGCACTTTTACCCGAGATGGGGTACGGACAAAGCATGGACAAAGTCATAGACAAACCAGAAATAACAAAGTCCATTAACTTCTTGCAAAGCCTTGGGGTACGGACCGGACGGTACGTTTGTTAGTTGCATGCTGGGGTACGACTGGTACTTACTACTTACTACTTGTACCCTGTGCTTGTACTCTTCTACCTAACTTGTACGATTGGTTCGTCTAGCTGTAGTCGTTGTTTACATACAGTTCATTGGCTGTAGTTTAGCTAGACCAGCGAATCTTTCCAACATCGAGGTCAAGTGACGTCACCCAAAACCAAAAACACATGCTCTGAAACCCGACGACTTCCGATCATCTTCGGAACATTCACAGCTGCCTTTCGCGCGCTTGTTTTGAGATGTTTTGTCAAAATGGTTTGGTGCCCTATTTGTGATGATCCTGGTGAAGATTCGTTTCACGATGTTTACAGTTTAAGGCGACATGTAAGAAAGTTTCATCCAGGTTAGTAGTATATAGTAGTAGTTATAAGTTAGCTACTCATTATTCACAGTTTAATGGATGCAGTATTATGAAACAAAATGTAAATATATATTATTCCTAGATAAACTGGATGAAATTGTTCCTAAAAAAAACAGGTCCAGTGAAGCTGCCCTGCTCTGCCATGAATGTGGTGAATCTTTCTCGTCGATTTCCAACTTGAATCGACATGTTAAAAATATTCACTATGGTAAGTGTGTTGCTATTGTATAGTATTTCATTAATTGATAATCCACAGGCCAACTAAGCTGTCCATGAACTCCTACTTTTTATGCTGTTTGATACATAAATAACTATGTCTCTTTTTTATAGGCAAAACACAACATGACCTAATGCAACCTAAGCAGACATACAGTAATAATAAGATTATTCATGAAACTGAGGAAGAAAATTTCAAATCTGAAAACTTCAGACTTTCCAATGAAGGTATGAATTTTATTCCTGGAAGACTGCAGTGGAAAAGGAGACAAAAGGTTATTATATTAATAAACATGTGGATCCTTTTCTGCCAAAATTATACCAGAAAGAAATTTATTTGTCATCAATATCTGGTACATATATAAATCTCTATATAATATGATCTAATCAGAGACACCTAGAGGTACAAGGCAGCCATAAAATTGATGGGTTCTGCCCAGGTGAAATATCATACTTGAGGTATACTTATGAATAATGAAAAATCTCAGGAAAATATGTTAATTCATGTTGGTGATTAATAGTAATTTTCCTAACAAGTGCGGAAAGTTATTCTTTCCCACACGCGACTGCCGTTGACACGAACGACGCGAAGCGGAGTTCGGGCAAGCAGTCGAGTGCGGGAAAGACACTTTCCGCATGAGTTAGGAACACTATTTTTTCTACAAGCGTAGGAAAGTGATTGATTCGTTCAATCAATTATTCATGCAAATAGGAACAGCTATCAAGAGAAATATATTCTCTATCTACTAATTATTAGTAATAGCTATTGTGTACTTACACGGTTTGACGCATTATGTTGGTTCATTGTGGAAGCCAGCAGGCCCATAAGGAGTTTGGTGTCTAGGTTTCAGACACTTCTATGAAATAAGCCAAAAATACCTATTCTTGATTCGATGTTTTCATTTCATTATTGGTGCACCATTCAATAAAACGCGAGTATATAGCTTCTCATACCTTTCTCAAGACTTCGTTGGTAATAACGCATCAGTATCGTGAATCCCTATAGCTAGAAGTTTTTGATCACATTGTGGCATTTCCACTGAATCGAAAATGACAGTAACGCTGTGTCTGTCACTTCGACAATTACAAACTTATTTGAGGTCTGATTGGCATGACAACAATAATCGTTGCCCATCAGATCAATCCAAATCTATAGGGGGATTTTTATAATAATAAATTTGTATTTCTCAATATTTCTTAATTTTCACAATGAATAGTGCAATTTGATGGATGATTCTGAACATACATAGGTACTTGATACTGCAACAAACAAACTTAAACTTTTATATTCCATCACCAACCACTTATATTATTAGAGATTTCATCATATCTTTGTTTTCCCGCACTAGTGCGAGAAAAAATTTCCCATACTAGTGTGGGAAAATTTTCCTGCACTGTTGGGGGAAAGTTACACTTTCCAAACTAAATTGCGTGCGGGTATAGGGTGAATCACGCACGCTTGTAGAAAAAAAAATTTAGGACATATAACTTTGAGTAAAACAGAGAGAGAGAGACTATATTATATATAATATATAGCTGCCAAAATTATTTTTCAAATCATCATTGATGATATATGTTAGGGAATAATCTCTTTCATGAGATATAAACTGGAGAGAATGCACCTTCTTACTAAGAAGGATTTACATAATATTGCACAGTGTTTTTATCTGAACATTGAAGCAATGAGGCATGTATGAAGGATGCTTTGAACTTTGATGCTTGCATGGGTAAAAGAAGTTGATGATATATGTGTATATTATTCTATAAACCACAAGATATTCTATCTGAAACATATCCACTCTTGAAAAATTAAGATTTTTTGTTGATCATAAGGAAGCAAGGCCAGGCAGATATGCTAGAAAAATATGTAGCAGTGACATTACTCATTTTGGATGATATGAGGGAAGGTTTCCCTTCTGCTTCTTTGATATCAAATAGGAACATAATATGAGGCTGTAATGTAATTTTTTTCTGTCATTAAAAATAAGCTAGGAAGAAAAACTGTACTGCCCAAAATATAAATGTGTGATATACATATATTTATGGCACAGTCATTTTTTTATAATGCCTGCTCCAAATCATTCTAAATGTAGTATGGTTTAATTTTATCTCATTGACAGGAATGTTAATTTTGTTTCATTTTTGTTCAATATGTGTAGAGATTGTAATTGTTTTGCACTTGGCATGTAGATCGAGCTTGGAGTATACAATAATTATTTCCTTGATTATTTCTTTTAGAGTTGTGACATATTTGTCCATATACTCAGGTATACTTTATTATATGATCATCATTTTCAGATTATGGTATACAAAATGCTAAGAACATTTCTCCATGAAAGAGATGCAATTGGTTTTTACAAATATTACACTTGATCACTTAATAGTCATCAATTGACAAAAGTTTCAAATTTGGCGCGTGCTCTGAATCAGCTGTGAATTATCCGAAGATGATCGGAAGTCGTCGGGTTTCAGATTGTGTTGTGTGTGACGTCACTTGACCTCGATGTTTGACAGATTCGCTAGTTTAACTAGACGCTTGTGGTTGGTACGGTGCGGTCAAGGATTATTTACCCGGTGACAAGTGAGTCAAGAAAGTAACAACACTGACAACTGTGAAGAAATGAAGGAAGTGGCTAGAGTCCCGCAAGTGGGACTAGATCAAAAAATGAATCCCCCAAGAAAAGAGTTTCTCTTGCCCCTCATCTAGGAAAATTATAGTTATTCATGTATCAAGGGCGTCAACTGGGCTTTTATGGACTGCAGCGTGTAAGTGAGTGTCCGAACAATAGCGAGGGCTATCAACACGTCTAGGTCCATCAAAGCAAGTTACGCTCTAAATACATAATAGGTGTGTTCGTTTGTATTGCTGGACATGCTATAGTTGATTTTTCCCCATAGCTGTATTTGTTCATAGCATGATGTAAACAGAGAGAGTCATAGAAAAAAATCAAGCTCAGCAGGTGGAGCAAACACATATAAGGCATGTTCGTTTGTGCTTGCTCAACCTGCTGAACTTAATTTTTTTCTATTACTTTCTCTGTTTACATCATGCCATGAACAGACAACTATAGGAAAGAAATCATGTTTAGCAATACAAACGAACAGGCCTAATACAACATTTTATATGCGAACGGTTTATTTGATTTTCCATTGTGAAGTTCTCTTGCTGCAGTGAGGAATATCATTGATGTGATCGACGGAACCATTGCAACTCGTTCAGTTTTTTTGGAATAGGAGTAGATAACTGTATTCGCTGTCGATGAAGGCTAAAACATTGCCCACCAAACCGTGCCACCGAAACATAAGGTCGGGGTTGGGAACTGATTAACTTTTGTTTTAATAAATCGTCTAGCCACGTCCACGCCACGTCTAGCTAGCTGAGAGGGAGCAAGAGTCAAGAAAAGCTCCTCCCTTGCGGGATTTAAAGTCTTGCTATCTTGTCCCAATTCCCACTTGCGGGACTCTTGCCACTTCCAAAAATGAAAAGATCACAAAATTCTCATATGACACAAACATAAAACATAAAGTTTGGTCCAATTTGGTCAGGTTAGGTGCTTCAACTCAAGTTTTTCAACTGACAATACTGAGTCTGCGGATTTTTCATTCCAAATTAAAAAAAAAACGCTGTCACTTTCAACGATATTTTTTGATTTCGGATTCGGAATGAAAAATCAGCAGATTCAGTACTGTCACTTGAATTCTGAGGAGATCCAGATCTTCTGTTCTGTGATTCTTGCATTATTGACGTTGACATTCTGTTGACACTTGAACTTGAAACTGTTGAAGTTGGGAGCTGGGAGCTTGAACGATTCCCTAAATATTGAATTTTTGAATGGGAAACTCAGCAATTTTATAATACTTATAATTCTGAGGTTAATAGTTAATAATAATAAAACATAAGGTTAATTTTTTTCGATAAAGGAGTATCATAGTGGAATGGAATCCCACTGAATGTTTATGGCAAGGTTACTTAATAGTGAAGCCAGTTGATAGTAATTGCTGCTGATTCCAGGGTCCCTCAAAAAACTTCCAAATAAGTGGATACCAACGTTGGAGCAAGAGTTGGAAGTGCATTTAATACATACACCATACACTTCTTTTCCTTCATCATTTCAAGATTGTTATTTCAACCCTACCAGAATTACCTATAAGAAACCTTTAGAATGCCATGGTGTTGGCGTTGTTGTGTACCTGGTTGTTACAGCAACTATAACAGTTCCCACAAATTTGTCTCTATTTTTTCTTTCCCTGATGATGAAAAATTTCGCCAGAAATGGATTGATGCTATAAGTTCTCTCCCAGATCATTACAAAGACAAAAAACTATTTCAAGTTACAGAATCCTCAGTGGTATGTGTGAAACATTTTGCAGATTATCATGTGATACGAGAGGATGCTGTAGAACAGGAAGATGGATCAGTGTTAGTGGTACCTAGAGAAGCTCCTAAGCTGACAGAAGATGCAGTACCAACTATTTTCATAGAGCATCTGAGATACAGGAAGAGGAAACGCTTGGTTGACTCAGAAGAAGGAGAAGGTAGGCTCACAGCAACCAAACAATAACATTCAACACTGTAGGGGAAAGCACCAATGTTGCAGTGAACATTGATTATTTGTTATTGAGGTGGATTCTATTTGATTTTAAGATAAGGTAGAGATTGATGACAGGAAGATAAGTGAGAAGCAGAAGACTGTTTTATTTTCATTCTTGGAAAAGGAAGTACACTTGAGAGATGGTACTTATTCGGAAGACTTCACCCTCAAAGATGCTAGAAAAAGGTGGATGGAGATTTCTGATGCACTGAATAACATTCCTGGACCTAAAAGAGGATGGAATTCTTGGAGACAAGTGAGTCATCATTAGAATATTTGTCATTTGCAATTTTCATAATGTTTTAATATTTGTTTTCAGACTTGGAAAGATATGAGGAGGCATGCAACAATTCAGTACTCAGTCAAAAATGACTTTTCATATGTTACAAGCAATAATAAGAAAATTTTGAAATTGATAGGATATGATGTTGATTGTGAAGAGCCTTCCTCAGATAAAGAAGAAATAATTGTTTTTGTAAGTAAATGTACAAAATAGCTTATTTTTCCAAGACCTTAATCCATCATAATTCATCAAGTAATTCACCTTCAATCATCAGTATTTCCTCAATTTGTATATCTTTTCCTGGAAGTTTATTGAAGATTATTTTTGGAGTACCTTGAAAATCCATGAAAACTCCTTAGAAATGTGAAATTTTTCAAGATTCTTGGTTCTTTGGAGGTTTGATGATCAAAATATTTTTTCCTATTTTCAGGAACACACTAATGATGACTTTCAAACACAAACTGTAGCAAATGAGCAAAATAATGATGTAAGTATGACTCTCCCTGATAATGAGGAATCTTCTTTATGCAAAGGAGAAGAAATAATCATGTTTGTAAGTATTTATCAAGGTATTTATATTGTCCATTAATTCAAATTATCTGTCAGCACTTTCAGAATTATTCAACAACTCTCTTTGATTTCTGATCTTTTGTTGTCTTGAATTCCTTTCAGTTTTTTTTTTAGTTCATGGCAATCACCTGGAATCTTGCATTCTTGGAACCTTTGGGTTTATAGTTATCAATTATGTTTTATTTTAACTAGTTTTACTAGTTTTCAGTATTTTTATTCCTATTACCTATTTATTTATTTACTTAATTGGAACAGGTAAGAGCTTTCATGCAGAGTTGATAGTGACGTCAATATGTCAACACATGCAGTGTTGCCAGTTGAAAGGAAATGACTGAATGACCAACCGCCCGAATATGGATATGTCTAGTGCTACGATCGTCGGACGTTATAATGTATTTTGGAACCAACTCAAAAACTGTCCATTCATGTTTCAAAATCAGCACTTGGAGTTGATAAATGAACTTCAATATTTGTATTTAATGTACCATGAGCCTAAATAATATACTGAATATGAAATTTAATGATAATGAAATTCTTACAAAGAATAATAACTTGAAGAATGATTTATTATATAACAACATCAACAAGCAATCACAGATATTGACATTAAAAATAACTTATTTTTCTACAAATACACAATTATGCCTTGAATTCATTTCTTTAAATAAAACTGATCAGTATTCACATTTACTGAGTGAGAATAATAAAAACTTCGAATTCAATTTTGAGGCGATCTAATCGTTTTGAATGTTTTTCAATTACTATAAATTGGTGAAATGGAATAGAAATTCGATCAATTGATTTTATTTCGTGGGAAAATAAATAGTGGTGCATCTACTTATATTGGAAATTATGGAATAGACAACAAGAGTTGTTCTTACTTCAATATTCTCAATATAATTCATGAGGAAAACTAACACTATATAATACAATTTTCTAACCCTAATATATAGCACACTAAACAATTTCAAATGTCATTCAATTTTCTTCACTGTCATCAAAATCATTCTCACTATCATCAGAATCAACCTCTCCTACATTTATAATCACTGGTGGAATATCTTGTAAATCCCAAATATGTTCTCTCTCCAACCAAATTTGAACAATTGATTTTATTTCGTGGGAAAATAAATAGTGGCGAACAATATTGGCCCATATTTCTGGAGTAACTTGCCTCAGAGAAATGTCAAATAAATCTGGCATCGGTGTACAGTTTTGCCAACTCAAATCGATAACGCGGTTCGCCCATTTCGAAAGTTACTAGTACATTGTACATTTAACATTGTTACCAAGTATTGCGCAACTATCAACCCAGCGTGAAAGCCCTTTACATGGTGATTAACCATAAATGTCCCTCCCTCTAGGTCAGTTATTTTTGAACCGATTGCAAAATTTTAATTATAATCTAAAATGATTTTCAATAGAGTTTTTTTCGGCTACATCAGAAAATACAAGGTGCTCGGAACAAACGATCTACAGGGAACTATTTGATTTTTTTAAATGAAACACCCAATTTTCATTGTATTTTTAGATTCTCCCTGAAGACCTGATTTCATCAATGCATCACACTTGGGGTCTAGCGGAAATGATTACAGAGATATAGGGTGTTCAAAATCGAGATTTTTCAACTTTAAGATTCTTCTGTGACGAAACTATTTATTATTGGTCAAAACGCCTTTCATGTCCGTGTCTTAACTTTTGATTTACTATCTACTGACATTTAATAATTGGAACAGATACAGAGGGTGATCAGAATTCTGGATCTTGAACCACACTGTATATGTTCCCATTAAATGTCAGTAGATAGTAAATCAAAAGTTGATATTAGGGACATTTAAGCCGTTTTGACGACCAATAATGAATAGTTTTGACACAAAAAAATTCTAAAGTTGAAAAATCTCGATTTTGAACACCTTATATCTCTGTAATCATTCCCGATAGACCCCAAGTGTGATATATTGATGAAATCAGCTCTTCAGGGAGAATCTAAAATTACAATGAAATACAGGGTGTTCCATTTGGAATATCAAGTAGTACTCTGTAGATCGATTTTTCCGAGCACCCTGTATTTTCTGTTACAAAGGGAAAAAAATTTATAAAAAATCATTTTAGACGATTTTTCAAATTTTCAAATCGGTTAAAAAATAAGTCAGCTAGAGGGGGGGGACATTCATGGTGAATCACCCTGTACAGGGTGATCAGAATTCTGAATCTCGAACCACCCTGTATCTCTTCCAATTAAATGTCAGTAGATAGTGAATCGAAAGTCAAGATAGGGACATGTAAGCCCTTTCTACCAATAATGAATAGTTTCCACAAAAAAAATCTTGAAGTTGAAAAATCTCGATTTTGAACACCCTATAAATAACTGTAATCATTTCCGATAGACCCGAAGTGTGGTACATTGATGAAATCAGCTCTTCAGGAAGAATCTAAAAATGCAATGAAATACAGGGTGTTCCATTTGGAATATCAAAGTTGCTACTACTTTCTGATATAACCGGCAACGCTGCATTGCTGAACATATTTCAGATCGTAAACGTCCAAGGTACCATCGTCCGAGCGACACACCCTGTATATTTCACATTCCTTTCACATTGTAACTTTTTGGAATCCCTCAAGCTTTCCTGAAAAAACTGAATTTGGAAGTTATTCATTCCCTTGGAATTCCTTGGAAAAAACTCTTAGTTTTTGTATTACCCTGTATTTCTTCACTTCCAGGAACACACCAATGAAGACAATGAATCCATAACGGAGGAAGAAGTGGCTCCGAAAAAAAATAAGTCAGCTAAAAGTATATTGAAAATGAGTACCAACTCCAACATGTCTAATATGTCGGAGGGAAAGTTTTTAGTGAAAGAACGTTATTATGCGGAGAAACTGGAAATCATGAAAAAAGACAGTGAAATGAGGAGAGAACATCTGGATTTGATCAAGAGGGATGTGGAAGCTAAGGAAAGGATAGCTAAGGTTCTAGAAGGAATAATTGCGAATAATACAGTGATGTTTGAGTGTTGAGAAGACAGTGAATATATTATTCTGTATTTTTTGAAAACTTGATTTTTTTCTCCTCAAAGAATCAGTGAGATTTTTCCAAAAAAAGCTTCATGACGACCCATACATTTATCGGTATTCTGTGTTCTATAGAATCCCATGTTATTTTATTTTTTTTAACAATGTGAAAAACTGCAGTAATGCTGTCCCAAATGTTGGGAATTAGTTGAGTCATAGATCTAATTACACAACGGAGGCTGAGCCTCCTCAGAGATTTTCCTTAAACTAATATTATTTTATACTTTCTCATTAAAAGGACACCAAAATAGATGGATTTTGATTTTATTTCCCGTTTTTAGTTAGATAATTTTGAATTGGCAACAGTGCTTGCCCACGCATCACACGTTGAAGTCTGCAAATCACGCGTAAAATATTCAACTTGGCAACATCTATAGGAGGCTAGACTCCTTCACATTGGGCAACCTACGCGCGCAATGCGAATGCCCGAATACGCCCGAATAGCACGTGTTTGTCGTGTCGCTTCGCGAATTGCGGACAAACGCGAGTGCATTGTTTATGTTTATGTTAGGTTAATGGTTAGGGGCTCTATAAATTTCTGAATAATGAGTGTTTTAAACGATTGCGATTTAGTGGAATACTTTTTGGTGAACCCATTCAGTGCTTTGTCTTATGAAGATGAATTGATTGTGAAAAACAAACGTCCGACACCGGAATTAAAAAATCTGATTGTAACAGGTAACAAAAAAAATCGTTCCTTCAATTCTGATAATTATAAAAAGATAAGTCATCATGTTGGGGGCGATTGGGATATAATGATTTGAAAAATTTGCCTAGCGGATTGGATAGACACTGCAAATCACAGGAACACATCTCTTCAAGTATTAAGTTCAGGTTAACTGGTAAACAGAATGTCATTAAAGCTATCGATTTGGGTGAGTAGAGAGTTGTTTTCCACAATAAATCTCATATCATTCAGCCTCCTCTGTCATGAAAGTCACGAGCCGCCACTGCTTTTCAGTAGCAAATATATCTGATAACGTCAATTTTTAACACCGAATGATCAGAAATAAGTGAAACTGATGGTATTATTGGTATTTACTCTTTTTAATTTCGAAAAAACCTTCATAATGGCTAAAACTATGTCGAAAACACATCAAAACCACTTATTATTATAAATGAATGAATTCAGAATGATAAAAGCTTTCAGAATCTGTTCACATAATCATGACCGTGTATTTGATTGAAAAAATGTAGATAATGGTTCTACGAATACGAATTGTCGCCTAGAGATATCTGTATCTCGAAAAATGTCCTCGTTTATTTAGATATAACTTCTTTGGTATATGATATGATCCTCTGTCATACTGGTTTAAAAGTAAAAAGCACCTTTCTAAAATATTGATATAAAAACATGATTTTATTCCGACCGTGTGTACCTTAAAAAAAGTACTCACTAATATTTTCAGAGGAAGCCAAATGCTGAATTATTCCAACAGCTTCCTGCTTTCCTTATGAAATAACCCCCTGACTGCAAAGTTTCAAAAGGACTATTTATGAATGCTCATCAAGTAAAATGTTGGCCGGGCACAGTCTTCCTAACAAACTTTCCGATTTCATTTATTTCTTTTTTCGCGAGAAAGCAGTGGATAATGCAATGCAAGGCGAACAAGTTTAATTTTGCTGCAAAAGATTTCAAGCTCCTATTAAAGAGCTTTCAACGAAATTAATATATTATATATGCGCTAATTTTATTGCTGTTCGATTTATATGAAAATTACATGTATACAGAGTGTTTTCCATTTTACATTATTTATCATTTCATATCCAGATAGGTATATGAATTTGAAACTTCAAAACAGCTCATACAGGGTGGCCCATCCCAAAAGTACCGAAAGTCATTACAGGGTGTGGGAAATCCAAAAAACCTTTCAAGTTTGTTTGTCTGAAGGACAACTTTTGACGCAAAAAGCATAACAAAACCTTCAAACCCCTGAGTTTTTCAAATTGAAATTGTTATCAAGTTGTATATACCTCATTAAAAAAGGCTTTCAATTCCCTATTTATTATTGCTGCTGCTTAGTTTTTGAAAATCGATTCACTCGTGTTTTTTTTTTTGGATTTGGTCGAAAAGTTCTCGCCTATAAAATTATATGCATTGCGGTACCATTTCGATGTGCCACCCTGTATATAAATAGAGTACAATAAACTTTACACACCAGTGCTTCGTTGATACGACCTTGCAACTTGCAACATTTTTTTTGTTCATTTTTATTGTATCTTCGATATAGGTAAACATTATATCCGATATCCGAGTTCAGTTCAATAAAATCGATACCCATCTCCCTCTATTTCTCTGAAACAATATGAACAATTAATAAGCTATGAACTATCAGTAGATATACAGGGTGTCTCACGGTCGATCATACTTTGAACATATACAGAGTGATTCATAATTGAATGTAAATATTCGAGAAGGCGCCCATTCGAAGAAGACTCTTGTTTTGCATCACCGTTGACAGCTGAAGTTACAGTTGTCTGTCAGAGTTGGGGTTGACATTGACATTTGGTCACATGTTTATCAAGTTAATCAAGCGATATCAAGATGAAAACGTTTTTTCATTTTTGGATGTCTTTCGGCCTCCTAATGTGGCGATTCCACTGGCTCATCGTGGCACAGGGCTCCTGTTTAGAAAACCTGTTATAATAATTGAAACTCAGTTTTAATCTTCTCCTGAAGATGCTAACATAGTTAGCGAAACACGTGTCGAGACGTTTAAAAAATTGAGGTACCATCGACCGTGAGACACCCTGTATTTATACAGGTAAGTACCTTTATCTTATCATTTTAATCGACAGATTAAAAAGAAAAACCGACAAAGCGCGAGAGCAGCCCGAGCATCCCGAAGCGGTTGGCGCGTCTCGTTCGGAATTTTCACAACTCAGTTCTCCTCTGCGTACGTTGCTGCGATCAAAGTTGGCCTGGCCGTAGATCGCGCCCACCTGTTCAGCTGTCGCGCCATCGAGTTGGCCACTTTATTCGGCGACCAGTCGATCGCCTTTTTTTTCGAGACAAGTGCAGGTAAATTTGTTGACGTGTGCTGAAAGTGCGCCCTTTTTGGTGTCTAGTGCGAAAAACTGCGGTTGATTCTGTGGAAATAGGTATATACTTTCACCGCGACTTTCCCGAACGAGTTTTGAAGATGGTGAAGGCGACTGCGGTTGTTTTGTTCCTCCTTGGATTGTCTAAAGGTGAGTGCTTGCAAGAGTACCGGTACTTTTATACAGCGTTATAAAAGCGCTTCTTCTCAGACCGCCAAGGAATATACCTAAGTTTTGCGTTTCTTTTAGTGATACAATAATCAAGTTCAAAATAAACAAAAACAATCATAAAGTTCCTATAAATATTTTGATTATTATATACAGAGAGTTCCAAATTCGAGGTGGTTTTGGGCTTGTTTCGATCCAAGGAAAAAATCGAGGGAAAGGTTTCGAAAGTATAAACAAGTTTAAGCGCATTGTTTTTCCTAATCTAATAACAACCAATTCACATTAATACGACTCGACGATAATGCTGCATTGTGTTAAAATTTTTTCCCAAGCGTTTCATTTATGCAGCTATCTCGGCAGCTACTGATATAGGGAATTATGGCATGAAATTCCTATGGCTCATACACCTATATTATGAATTGTGTTAAGTAATTATATAGGTATGAACAGTTGCTAATAATATGATGAAGGTTGCATTAGATTATTATTTTTAGTGATGAAATACAACTACATAAGTATACAGGGTGACATCGAAGATGACATTGAAACCCTGATCGACGTATACTAACGAATTCGAAAAAAATATTGGCATAGGTATGCAATGTAGGGCTAGTCGATGGGCTAGTATTCGAGGATAGTTCTATCTCGAGTTTTATCGATGCTAAACCGCTACACCCATAACTCCACCTATAAGGAGTATAACCGTTACCCTGCGTTACCCCGTCGAATTATAAGTTTACGAACCATTCCCAAATCGCCTTGTCAGATTGGTCACAGATCTATGGTCACAGTAAAGCCTCGGGTAAAACCGAGGGCAAAACTATCAGTTGAACTCGGTTAAACTAGTATTATTTTTACCCGAGTTTGCCTTAGACAGTCAGAAAAGTAAAGAAAGGCAAAATTCCCGGACAGTGTACAAGTACAAAACGTACAAAAACGAGTAAGTAGTACATAAAATACGGGAAGTGGAGAAGCCTCGAGAAGAACTAAAAAGATCACCGTGCCACAAACACTGAATATTCAAATATAAATGCCTCGGGAAATGCAAATGTCTCATGGAAATGCTAATTGTGCACATGCTAGTAACGACGACATATTATGAAACAATTTTATATGGAATTCGCATTGAAATACCTGGAAATCTAGCTGGAAATATACTCGCGAATATACCACCAGTTACTTGTAAAGTTCTTTAGAATTACGAACTTCATTGCGAATAATAGGAAATCTTGGGGAGGATCAAGCTAACATAACCTCCTAACCTACCATAATCTATCCTTACATTGCCCTACAGACCTTACCTTACTTTGCTTACCCTAGCCATAACCTAACCTAATCTAACTCAACCTTACCTAACCTAAGCTAATGTAACCTGAACCTAAACCAGATCACAGAATATTCGGAGATGAAAATTGTAACTCCATCAAGAACCATTGAGTGAAGATCAGATCAAACTCGGTATCAAACGAGGTATCGGAGTATGAAAGAAACTCGGGTTCCTCCGAGGCTCGAAAATTCCCTCTGAGGAGTAATCCACTCTCCTGAAACGTACGCGGATTGGACATAGGATTGGACCAGATTGGACCGAAGTTATCGGATATTATTGAATATTATAAAGCGTGTCTCATATCGAACCCCTCCCCCTCCCCATCAATATCTCGTGCGATCTTCACCAAATTTGGACCGGTATAAAAAACCATCGATATCAGCAGTATTTATTTTCAGAGACCAACATCAT